TCATCAAACTAACGAAATAAAATAAAATAAAAATTGTATACAAAATTTGAGACATAACATAGTGTAATATTTAATTATGTTTAAGTACAAAAGTAATATTGATATTTAATCTAGAAAGTTCATTTAGGTTAGAATGGTTAGATGTATTACATTTTAGACATTCTGGTGTTATTATTATGTCCAACATGCTTTTCTATAAATATTATTTGATCCATAAATCCAAAAGTCTATACTATTTCCAGGTTATAATGTCAAAACATTTAACAACTTTTCAATTTAATATTTGTAATCTGATTTATTTAAACAATTGACGAATAATGGTTATAAAATATTATTTTAGTTTACCAACATAATTTTTTATCATAATCTATACTGAGATATCGACTTATACAATTATTATAATTTAAAGGTATCAATCTCTAATATTGTTAATATAATAATATTTTACATAAAATGATTTTTACATTTTGGTTTAAATTTCAACGCATATATATATATATATATATATATATATATATATGATAATAAACTCATATGGTATACAGAATAAATTGTGAACTTATAGGTATCTACCTATATATTTTATGAATTCAATACAGTGAAACCTCTAAATACCGGACACTCTCGGTCGCTTAAATGTCGTCGGTTATTTGGAGGTGTCCGCTATTAAGATGGGAAATACAGTGAGTACACATTTCACCATTCAAAAAATTCCGTCCGTTATTTGGAGGTGTCCACTATTCAGAGGTGTCCGTTAAAGGAGGTTTCACTGTATATATGCAGTGCTTGAATTGAAAAAATAAAAAAAGGATTCCCAGACTTGAAAAAAATAATGTTTCCTACAATAATTATACTCAACCAGCTCTTATAGGGGTTGGAGTACACTAATTAATACATAGAATGTGAATAATGTACATATACTTCTCATATAATATGTAAAATAGTAAAATTTGTATATGCGGTAGCCGCCATATGCATTCCGATTTTATTTTTAACATTCATAATATGGTGATGATAACATTTTTCATAGATAACAAGATTTTATTTTGTTTTCCCATGACTCAGAATCTATATGGTGACTTCAGAATCATATTTTGATTGATACACAAATTCCAAGTTTTTAGTTCAATGGTTGAGGTGAGGGAGGCTGTCCTTTCACATCCCTCAACCATCCATTTGAAATGTAATATACCAATACTATATAGTAACATTTCCCTCCGATTACAATAAATATTTTATTATTTGTCATTTATTAAAATTTTACATAAAATAATAATCTTACATTTCTATTTAATTAGGTCATTTATTGTAAATTTCAATAATGATAAATAGATAAAAGACTCTAACAACAGATTAAGATTATGGCTTATATCTTAGTCCGTGATTTTTATTGCGTTATCAATCATTAATGAAATAAATCATTAAATTAAATTTTAATATCTTACAAGAATAGATATAACTTTATAAAATAACAAGTTAACAACGTGTATGTGTGTGGCTTTATCGTAACATATTTTTTCAATCTAACATGACTTTAACAAAATAGACTAATACGACCAAAGAGCTGTCTCCAGAGTTTCTCAAATCAATTTTTATTTTTGAGTAGAAGTACCTATAGGTGGCCCATCTGTTGAAATATAGAACTCACATTCGTACAACGTTAAGTTTAATGTGTCATGAATGCACACATTTATATGCTATTTATGTCATAAAAGATTGAAACGTTTTAATAGATATTTCAGTTGTACACATGCTTTGTCTACGCAGTACGCACATTCTTGATTAAGCGCCACATGCTGCATATTTACTGATAATATTTTATTTTATACAAATTAGGTTTTTAACTGGGAATTATGTCCAATATTACAAAATAATAAAACAAATATTAAAGTACTATCCCACCACCAGCCTAATTATTTATAAACATAGTTATTTAAAAATATATTGGTACAAATAATGATTATGGGTCTAAACCGGTCGTTACTCTCAATATACTATTTAGTAATAGGTCACTGCCATTCAGCTATGATTTTCAGCGATGGTAAATATTTTTTAAATCCGTATAATATATTATAATGTTTAGATTAAAACGTGTTAAATCAATTAAAAATATATTATATTTCTCATATTATGAGTTATAACATATAACTTCTTAATTTGAATTAATTTATTCAATATTGAATGATTAATATTTATAATTTTTGTTTAATAAAAGGTTATATATTATAATTTATTAACGTATTATTATAGATTCATTTTAGTTTAAATGTGCTGTAGTCAACAACTAATTAAAGTTTAATCTTTTAAACAGCGTTCACATATTAAAAATAGATACGGAAATAGTACCAAAAAACACTAGAAAAGTGCTTCGCCCAAATTTTGTCTTCATGGGAATTAAGCAATCATTTATTATTAATAAACTCAATAATAAATTATTAATATTACAAATTTATAATTAAGGCGTTTTAAATTTAAATATAATAAATTTAAAACTTTCAAGAGGATGTGTACCGTCAAATTAAAGGTTCGCTATATCATTCAAATGCAAAAAGTATCTTCATTTTAATTGCATAAATACATATAGAAAAAGATGACATTTTTTTGTATTTCTGGAAATGGATTTTAATCTATATAATATATATTGAAAAATTTTCAAACTTCAACTTCAAAAATTTCTTATAAAAATTTGTTTTAGCAGTTGATAGTTTGGAGGTAAGGGTAAAAAATTGTCAGTAATTGTAAGTAAAAATACTGTGAAAAAGATTAGAATTTTGAAAAATCACAATAAAACATATTTGTTATAACTTTTTATGATACTATTTTTGTTGGGCTATAAGTTGTGCGAATTATCTTTGGAAATCTAAAAATATCCAAGATATTGAGTTTCTTTTCGAGAGTCTTTTATTCCAATTCCATCTGGGTAAAAAAAAGGTATACATTAATATATTATAAATTAGTATATAATATACTTCGTCGTTAGTAAGAAAAGAAGGGTAACTACAATATTAGTACATTTTCGTAATTTGATTGTAATTATATTTTTTATATTTTTATTTTTATTAGCTTTTTGCAAAGGTGGGCAAGTTAATGGAAAAAATTAACTTTGGCAAGTTAAGTTAATTCAATAAAATTAATAATCACAATAATCATAAGTCATAAATTGCCCTAGTATTTTAATTTATACAAATATTTACCAAGACACTTATCAGTATTCTAATATTAATACTATTTACTAGTGAAGATTAAAATATAATCTGATTATTATGAATTGATGATATTATAAAAATTAAAATTAACTTAACTGCACCATAATGATAATTAACTTTAAAAAGTTAAATTAAAAGATAAAAATTTAACTCAATAAGTTATTAAGTTGAAAACAAAAATAATTAACTAGTTAAGTTAAAAAGTTAAAAAAAATTAATTTTTTAACAAGTTAAAGCCCACCATTGGCTTTTTGTACAACGATTATGCAAACATCGAATTTATGCAATAATTGTTAAAATATATTATATAAATATTGTTTTTATTAAATACAAAAAAAATTAAAAATGTATTTTCATTTTGATAAACAATGCAGTAAATATAATAAAGCCAAAATCAAAGGTCATATTAGTTGTCAAAGTAATTGTTGAGCTTTGATAGTTTATAATGAGGAATTATAAAATAAAATAAAAAAGTTAGACAGAAAATTTTCGAAATAAATAATTTTTTTTAAATTTACAATTGGATTAAAAGTATAAAGATTATTTTTTTTATAAAACATTCTAATCGTGGTATTTTATCTAAACTGTATATATTAATATATATTTTTTTTTTAATAAACTCTCCCTTAGCTAGGTATCTACCTATACCAATGGTTATATTATGATATAAGATAATTTAAAGCTATGCATACTGTCACACAAAAACATTTTATAAAAAAGTAGATATAGCCAAGAAATGTATGCATTTAAACATATGGACAAATTTTGTATGTCTGTTTATTGTACAATCAAGAACGAGTTGAGCATAGGATATCATGCAACCTGGACTCCGCACTCGGTCCCAATCCTAAAAATAACTTAGATTTATTGAATTTTCTAAAATACTCTAAACTATATTATTATATATAAAAAATGTACATACCATTTTATTTATAACCCATCTTTGTAAATATCGTTGTAAACACTTATTCATGCATATTTTTTTAACTTTCTGTAACTAATGGCCTTTGCTGTAGATGTTTTTTTTGTAATTAATAAAAAAATTTTTTTGTATGTACTCTATAGCCTACATTGTAGTGTGAAAACTGCTTATAAGTAACCATGGTGAAAAATATACAATCTTATCATGAAGAATTTATTTTCCCATCGTGGTAGTAGTCTGTTTATAATGGTACGCAACTCGTAATTTGTAAAAATTAAAGTCATTATTAAGTATACAATAAATTGTGGGGACGCTGGTTTTGTTTAAAATATATTTAAATTATATCTTAAGCCGGGATCCCACGACTCGTGTATTTGACGAATATTCGGTATTTGTGGATACTCGCCAAGTAGTGGGAATAGAGTACTTGTACGAATATTCGGTATTCGGTATTCGTTATTCGTCATTCGCCACCTTCCCGCGGATTGTCGGTAAATGTGACACGAGTCAAAGAGAATTTAATTACYAAAATAGATCTTATTATATTATTATAATATTATATCTTATTATTCTAGTATTCGTGGATATTCRTTAAATGTACGAGTTGTGGGAATGGTCTACTTGGCTATTCGTATAACTTGCCGATTATTTGAGTATTCGTGGATATTCGTCAAATACACGAGTCGTGGGATCCCGGTTTTGCACGTAGGAGACGTTTCCATTTGATTTGAATGAAATTCAAATCAATGATAAATTGTAAAATTAAAAATAAATAAAATAATCATGAATTATATTATTTTATGATTCCGAATTACTTATATTGAATTGTAATTAATAAGTGGATTTTCGCCAATGCATTACTTTTACCACGATGGATTTACAAACACACAATATAAATTTTATCCGCAATTATAGGTTATATGGTACGTTGTAGGTTTAATTGTTCTTCTTAGAAGGAGATTTCATAATAAGGTCATACCTTTAGTCGTTTAAAAATAATATATTTTGATTGGCGTCATTAAAATTATCATTATATATCAAAAAGCCGCTATGTAACATTGCAACCAAACAACATACTATATTATTAACATCAACTTATAGTTGCAGCACTGTTTAGAGTTTACAATACATACAGAAGAGATGAAATATATTTTATTGCTATTCTTTATTATTGTATGTAGGAATCTTGTTAAATATATTTTAAAGGTTCTATAAATTCACAATATTTTTTTTATATGCATTTCTAGATTTTGAAATTTACATTGCCGTGATTTTCCTATAAGTGAAATGAACATCCTATTGAACCTGTTTATGGTTAAACTGTATAATAATATACAGTATGGCTTCTTTAAATCCATTAATAATAAAAACAATTGTTTTTTCGAATATTTAAATGTTCCATTAACACGATAAGTACCAATTTTACTTAAATTAGGCGAGTTTATTATACATACAATTGAACATAATTATGATTTTAATTGGAATATTTATAACTATAACATTTTGCTTATTATTTGTTTGTTACGTGATTTTTTTTAAATGATTCATGAACGTCTTCAGTAGAAAACAAAAGTGGATAATTATTATAATATAAAATACTTTACATGATGGATATTCTTTCTAATTAAATCTCTATCATTAGACATAATAGCATTAACACCATAATAATTTTTTTTAGGTTTTTACAGTTAATATCAACAATAGCTTTTCTTTAATTTGCCTACCTATACCTTATTATTAAAACTTACTTAATTATTATAATATATACCAATTTGTATATATTATGCCGTGCTTTATTTTTGAACAATTGAACACTTGAACACTTYCAGCACTCAAAATTGTTACCTATTTAATTCTTTATAAAATAAAATTTTATCTCTTTCGCTATAGGTACACAGTATTCATTTTAAATATAAATTATTATTTAATTAGATATAAAAATACACAAATAACAACTGAAAAGTTAATTTGATGTGATAGCTAAAATCATATAAATAACTTTATTTCTTAACAAATTCGATTGTCAACGTTATTATAATATGCCGTACATATGTTATACGTTAATATTTTAGTACATACAAAATATGTACATAATTTATAAACAGTAAAAAATACAAAATTAATGTAACTGGTAATACTAAATAAAAAACCGGGAGTGGAATAAATATAAATTCAGTCAGTCGCAGTTCTGATGGTTGGAATCGAGTAGGTATATTTACGTTGTAATGCGTTAATGCTGGTTGTTGAGACCATGTAAAGTGCTATTCGAATTATTTGTTTTAACTTTCAAGACACAAATAATATTATATTTTTGTACAACTTGAAACTCTACACGTGAAGTAATTTGGTATCGAGCTTAAACTAAAAACCATGGTATCAAAATAATATTATAATACGACCCTAAATGATTCGATACTTCACAAAGAATAAACCGTGAATTTCACAAGCCACATCGCCGATGGTCGCAACTTAGCTTGAATATTTTTCCTCTTATAATCGAAGGATTGTTGTCCCCCAAATGAAGGTGGTATTCAAATGGCATTTAATAATTATTTCGCGGTGATTGATATTATATTGGTATGCAATATAAAACAAGTATTAATTAATCGTGTTTCAAAAAAAAAAATGAAAAACCTATTAGCTGCCATATTATACAATTTCACTTGAATTCATTTTTAAAATTGATGTAAAAAATGTAGATACCCAAAGAAATAGATTATTTCATAAAAATTACTAATATGGCAAATTATTGTATCTATAATGTATTAATGTATGAAAAATAATTGATAATATATAAACCTATAACTATTATACAGGGTGATGTAGCAGGAAGATCTAACGAATGGAATAACTTTTGTTCTGAATAATATTTTTTAATTTTTAATAAGTACCTACTTATTAAAATCTAAATATTGTTTTAAAAAGTTATAACTTTTCAAATTAATGAATCTTACTACTAAATATTTGCAGGACATTTTAAAAAGTCATAAATAATAAACTACATGACATGTTTTTACAATCAACATTTTTCTAAATATTTACTTGATGAATTGGCTATTTAAATATACAAAATTATATTATGTTATCGTGTAATTCATATAATAATGATAATAATAATAATAAAATTTAGATTAAAACCAAAGTTATTTCGTCTGCATAAGCTTCCTGTTACAGGCAAAATATTGATATATATATATATATATATATAATATTTAAGTGTCTTATTCGTGAAATCTGAAATATTCTACAATTTTTGATTTCTTATACCTACACCGTGTGAGAATATGTTACACATTATGATATTTAAGTTACAAATGGTTGAGCCATTGATGTAGGACAATATATAAATTAAAAAAATTGAACAAAATTGATAATTGTTGATTTTTGACACGATTTCAGATAGGGAGGAGTATGATATAAGTGAATATTACTCGTAAATCGCAATCATGACGATAAAAAAACATCAGGATATGGCGTGCCTGCCAACCACTGACGCCGATACGGATGAACACGAGTGGCAGAAAATGAGTTTCACGTCCAAGGTGTCGTTCATGGCCCGGAACGTGACGGTAGAACCACTGTTGGCTCTGTTCCAACTGTCCATGATCATTTCCAGCCTGACCACACAAAACCTGAACATGCAAAAGGCTTGCCGAGTAAACCTGAGACTGGGCGAGAAGGTGTGTTTTGCCCTGGAGAACAAGAACTCCACATTTTATCGGGACGAAGAATTGGCAGTGCAGCAGTTGGTGACCAAGATGATGCTCTGGCAAAGTCCTATCCAGAACTTGATGCCGTGCGTCCTGGTGATGTTCGTCGGTTCGTGGAGCGACCGGAACCAGAAACGGAAACCGTTTATGTTGTTTCCAATAATCGGCGAACTAGTGCGCAATGTCGGACTGGTCATCTGCGTGTACTTCTTTTACGAGTTGCCGATGGAGGTAGCAGGTATCGTCGAGTCGGTCCCATCGGCCGTTACGGGTGGCTTACCGATATTAATGCTGGCCGTGTTCGCCTACGTGGGGGACATAAGCACGGTATTAAAATATTATCTTGTAAGATGGTTAGGGGTAGCTATAGTGTTAGGTTTGTCGATTTCGCATTTCCAATATTATTTTGCCAGTTAAATTCTCTGTCTGGCGTCTGCTTATACATCCTAAAAATAATGGAGTATATAAATCGTATGTCGGAGACAAAAACGTGTAAGATTATCTACGATGTATTATAATTTGAAGTCTACTGCGTATACTACCTAATAATTTGGTAATAATAATGACTATAATAAATTATACTATAATATAGTTATACAGAATACTGTACGCTTTCAAATATTGACGATTTTTTTTTTTAATTTAAAGAATATATTAATGATTTTTTTTAAACTGATTTACTATTGAATATTTGAATTTGAATCACTCAAAACATAGGTGTAATATTATCGAAATTAAATCTTAAAAAATAAAACCCATAAAACAATAAATTTGAATAACGTTACTTATTTCGTTTAAAATTAGAATATATTATTAAAACATTGAACATTTATACTATAATAAATTTTACTATGACATTTTTTTCTCAGTCAATGGTTTTTTAAAGTCTCATATGCACAATTGATTTTTTTTTTACAATGAATGAGTATAAAGTACAAATGTAAAATAATACATTTTGGAAGAACTTTGATCATAGCACTTTGTGGCTTTTGGAAATTGTTTCATAAAAGTTGTCTAAACTCTATTAAAATATATCTTACATTCTTACTCATTTCATAAAAATCATTATCATTGAAATTGAACCTTTTTTTTTTTTTTAATATGAATTTATTGTGAAATATTACGATCTATACAGGGATGTACAATAAGTAATAATTATGGTGAAAAGAAAGAAAAACTATAAACTAAAGATAACATGTTAAAATTGAACCTAAAAATAAAATAACGACTATAATAATATTCAATATTAGTTTACGAAATAATATAATATGTTACTTATTGCATACAATTTTTAACTTGTATTTTATATATTCTAGGTTAAAAATAGAACTGTTCGAGTTGGCTTCGTAAGTTTAATTTTTTCGATCACTATCACCATTGGGACAGCGTTATCCGGCATCATGTTTCGAGATTACGGTTTTTACGGAGTGTATATTATATCCACTGTATTGTATTTGTTCAGTTTCATATACTGTATAATTGTTATCAAAGATATGAAGTCCGATGTTGTAGAAAAATATCATGAGTCCAATATTGCCGTTGGATACTGCAAAAAATCAGCTTTTCTTGCGATAGTCGATTTCTTTGACTTAAAACACGTGAAGAAAGCGGTTCAAGTTACATTTAAGCGAGGAGATGACAACAACAATAGATCTGACATTATATTGTTGTTTGTTATCATGGTCATTATATTGGGTCCTATGAGTGGTTTGTATAAAAAAGTATTAAATTTATTATTTTATAGGTATTAGGCATACGCAGGCCCCCCACGTTATATTTTTGGCTTTGGTAGAGAACTAAACCCGCACTCCAAACATTTTTCTAATATATATTGAAGTAACTAACTATTTTTATGAACAACAAGCCTCTCGAAAGCTCGGGCCACAGTACCATAGGTCTTTCTGCCCCCCCCCTTCACCCTTATAGGGTTCCTAGGTATACGAAATACATAAATTTATAAAGTATAACATTCAACTAAATATGTTATTACATTTTGTAGAAAATAAAAACGGTAGGTATACAAATAACCAAAAACTGACATGTATGGTGGAATATATATCATATTTTTACAGAGGTAAAATAATTTAGAATTTCTTTATTTTATTTTATGAACTTCTAGCATTACTCTTGCCTAGTATAAAAGTTATTACTAGGGGAAAAACAAATCGAGAATCTGAAATAAATGAATGAATAAAAATGAAATATTTTTCATTAATTTAGTAAATAAGGTTTGATTAATAAGAGTGAATTGCCAGTGTAACGATAAGAATATTATCAGGAATCGTAAACTCGTAATCTTTTGATGATATCTAATGTTTAGTGAGCTATGAGAATTTTAAAGTGGTATTATTTTACATAATTTCAACTCAATTTGAAATTACACCATCAATGAAAACCTACCATGATGTCCTAGATTATGTTTTTACCTTGAAGTTTGTTGATAGGTCAATTCACTTTTTAATAAAGCTAATAACCTATGATTAGAATTATATATGATAAAATAATTATTATTTAGTATCAAATATTTTTCATACCAATTCTCAAATATGAATATTCTCTAACATAATATTATAAATTGAAATCTTTCTACGTGGTATTTTGTTACACAACACTGATTTGCTGTGAGCCTGTTGCATCAAGTATGTTTTCTGAATAGAATAGCTATATAATTATAGGTATATATTAAATATAAATAATTATATTTATTTTAATTTATTAGAATCGATATTTTCATAAAAAATTGTCCATGATTTATAGAAATGGTGTTTAAACTAAACATTTTACGAAACTCTCATACATATTATGAACTAATATATTGACCAAACATGATTAGTGGTATTTTAATTTTAATTTTAAGTATTAATTTACCTAATTATAAATTTTATACACATTATTATATTTTTTAAATGTATTTATTTAAAAATCAATTATCCAAATAGATAGGTAAATAATAATACTAAATTTACATATTAGAAATGTAGATAAATCTTCTACTAAGTAGGTATGTTTTAATTAAAGTGTCTTCAAATAAATAAAATTGAATTATATAAATATATAATAGCATTATATATAATATGAATAAATAATTTWAAAAAAAGGGGAGAGTAAATAATCGCTAAGCTGTACAGCAGGTGTCGAGTGTACCACGTTCGACACTGTAATGCATATTTTGTTAAATTTAAATTCAATGTTTTATTCCTTGTATACGAAAAACAATTCTAAGCAATCATGGTCTGTCAGCTTGTATTACGAAGTATACTTTATGATACATTTATATGACTTTTGTATGGTAATTTATTTTATTATCATAGTAGTAGGGTAAATTGAATAAATTTTTGCCAAAAACATCGCATTTATTAATATTTATTTTATTTTAATACAGTACAATATATAKTATTGTTAATAATTTAGAGGCAATACAAACTTACCATATAATGATGTGATTATGTGAGTAACCTTATGGTATAAAATATAATAATATACGTTTAAACTTTAAATCCTCACGAAAATTTTTTTTTAGTTACAAAATAACAAATCGTTATTCTTCGTTTTAATATGTAATATCGTCCAACTTTATAGATTTTTTAACCTAAAAAAATAAGTTTTATCTTAATTTAAAAAAAAATAACTTAAATTAATTAAAAATATCAACTTATCTATAAATAGTTCAAAATATTTTGAAAATGACAGTATAAACATTTTAAGTAAATTTAGTTAAAAGGTTATTTTAATTTTTGAATTAAGGCAATTTTGATTAATTTATTTTGTAAAAACTAGTTTTGCGTGAAAATTCCTGTTTTCCCTTATTAATTTATTTTTAAGATTCATTCCTAGAAAATATATTAAACTTTATATCATTACATTTTTTTCATCTATGAATCGTGAATTGTGTACACAAACACAAAAAATGACACTTGGGTATCATTATAAAATACTAAAATCAATATATTCATCCATTCCATTTTAACAAATAGCTGTGTACATATTCCTTTGAACAGTTTGAGCAGTATATTATAGCATATTCMTTTTAATAGTAATAATAAATTTGCGGTAAATATTTTATTTTACCATAAATTGTATACAATTCACAATACCTATATCAAATTGGACTAATTTAAACTATTTCATGAAAAATTTACTATTTTAAAAAACACGTAGTACTATTATTGCTCAAATTGTGTAAACTAACCTATAMATTTAGAAAGTTAGCATTCTTATAGAGTATGTAAATTTTTCTTACGCTTTTTAGAAATATTATAGTTAAAATTTTATTTAGTAACCAACATTTTTGTAATTATTAAAATGCATTGGATATTCATCGTTTAAAACATTAATTGTGATTTAATGCTCATTTCAGGTGAACAAATATTGATGTATTTGTTGGTACGAGTTAAATTTAACTGGAATGAAGTAGATTTCAGTTTTTTCTCCA